CGTTTTCGCGTCTCCAGAGATTAAAGTTCTCGGTACCTTCGTGAGCAACGCGGGCGTTCGGGCTGACCCAGACAAGGCCAAAACCATAGCAGCATGGCCGACGCCCCGATCCCAGAAGGATCTTCGAAAGTGGTTGGGCTTGGCCAACTACCTTCACAAGTACAGCGCTGGGTACGCGGGCTTCGCTAAGCCCTTGTCGAGCCTCCTTCAGAAGGACGTCGACTGGCGCTGGAAGCAAGAGCACCAGGATGCTTTTGACAGCATCAAGGTCAGTCTCCAAGAGGCCCCTGTCCTGGCTCTGCCGGACGAGACGAAGCCGTTTAGCGTCGTCTGCGATGCCTCCGATTACGCCATCGGGTGTGCATTGCTGCAGGACGACACGTCTGGACAGGAGCGAGTCATCTCGTTCCAGTCCCGGCAGCTCAAAGCCGCCGAGCGGAACTAACCTGTCCATGACAAGGAGCTCCTGGCAATGAAATATGCCCTTGTGAAGTTCCGTGTTCACCTTCTGGGCTCTAGGCCCTTTGTGATCTACACAGACCACGCGTCCTTGAGGACGGCGACTAACTCGCCTCACCTCTACCAAAGGATGGCGAGGTGGCTGTCCTTCTTCGCGGAATACAACTTTCGCGTCGAATACAAGCCGGGCAAGCTCAACGTGCTTGCGGACGCCCTCTCTCGGCGTCCCGACTATGAGTTGGCCCACATCACGCGGGTGGCAACGGAGCTATATGATCGGATACGCATGGCGTATCGGGACGATGAGGCTGTCGCGCCTATCGTCAAGTTCCTTAAGGCCGGAACGAGCGCGAAGTCCGACTGGCTCTCGTCGCGACAGCGCTCACGGCTCCAACGATATGAGTTGAAGGAGGGCCTCCTCTATTATCGGGTGGAGCCCACTGATCCTTCACGGGTGGTCGTACCCAACGACGATGATCTGAAGGTCGACATCCTCGCGGAGGCGCATGACGCGCCCTCCAACGGCCACTTGGGCCGCGAGAAGACCTTTCTGTCGGTCTCTCAGTCCTTCTGGTGGACCCACATGTACAAGTGGGTCGCCCGGTACGTCAAGTCATGTGAAACATGTCAGCGGGTCAAACCCGCAGGGCACTCTTCGGCTCCACTACAGAGCCTGCCCGTACCGGCTGATTGCTGGAAGTCGATGAGCCTTGACTTCATCTTTGGGCTTCCCGCCGACGGACCCGGCAACACCGGAATTTTGGTGTTCGTGTGTCGGCTGAGCAAGATGGTCCATCTTGCTCCAGTTCCCGTCACTGTGACGGGCGAACAAACCGCAAGGTTGTTCGTCGATGGCGTGTTCCGCTATCACGGTCTCCCGGATACGATTGTCTCGGACCGAGACCCGCGGTTCACTGCCGCGTTTTGGAAAACGCTGTTCCCTTTACTGGGAGCTCGTCTGCAGATGTCCACTACGGACCATCCGCAGACCGACGGCCAAACAGAGCGCGTCAATCGAGTGCTCGAGGACACTCTGCGCAGTGTGTGCGCGGCAGCACCACGTACGTGGTCGACGCAGCTCCCAGTTGTTGAGTTTGCGCTCAACAACGCGGTGCACGCGTCCACGGGGTTCACGCCGTTCTACTTGAGCGGCTTCCGCCACCCCAGAGTGCCTCTCACTCTTCGAGGAGACACTGACTCCTCTATTCTAAGTGGGGAAGAGGCTTGGAAAGCCCTTTCCTCCCAGGTCTCTGATGTGAGGCCAGTTTCGCTGCGGAAACAGGTGGAATACTTTATGGATACCAAGCTGAACATTGTCAGCAGGGTCCGCGATGCCATGGCAGCGGCCCAAGATAAACAAAAGGAGTACTCGGACAAACAAGGAAGAGGAAACTTAAGTATATTTGAGATTGGTGACTTAGTGTTGCTACGTGGAACCTACATCTAGACACTGTTAGCTCTGTCGGCAGCAACAAACTGAAGCACCGCTTCATCGGACCTTTTGCAGTCCTGGCCAGACATGGTGCGTCGTACACCATCGACCTTCCAAAGTCAATGACGACGCACCCGACGTTCTATGTCGGACGTCTTAAGCGGTACTTTGACCCGCAGGGGGTTGCTGACTCGCAGACCCCCCTTGACCCAGCTCCTCGAAGCGAGGGCCGGTCACAGCCATCGACGAGGGCGTCGGAGCAGGCCCCCAAGCCTCGGTCGGGACGGCAAGGCTGCGGTCAAGACCGTACGCCGGAGGGGCTCCATACGAACGGACCCCGGCGCCATACGCCGAGTACGCTGAGTACGCCGGGTACGCACCATACGCGTACGTCGGGGAGTGTGCCGCAGGCGGCTCCGGACGTGGCAACAAAGCCTCGATCCGTCGGATCATGCGAAAGGCCTCGTCCAGATCGGTCGAAGAGGCCCGGCGATCCACCCGCAGGTGCAGGCTCGCGACCTCTCGCTCCAGCAGGTCCAGGCGGTCCGCAAGACGAGCGAGCTCGCCCTGATTCCCGGCCTGGGCGGCCAGTCCCAAGGCCAAGTGCAATCTCAAGCACGAGGACACGTTGACGGAGGCGGTCAACCTCAGGGTCCTGTGTCGGACCCGCAGTCGGAGCACTCGGACGAGAGTGGCTCTCGGGAGGCGCCGAGTACTCGTACTCGTACGAGGGCACCTCCGCCCCTGCTTGACCGGAATGGAGAAGTCCACTTCCACGTGGAGCGGATCCTCCAGGAGCAACGGTGTCGCGGCAAGCGACAGCTCCTCGTGAAGTGGAGGGGTTATGCCCACTCCGAGAACTCGTGGGAGCCGATTGAACGGCTCCTGATTGACTGCCCGAAGGCTGTCACAATCTGGGAACAGAAGCGGCGGCAGCTTCATAAGTAGTCCGGGGCTTCTTGCCCGAACGGGGTACGGTCGATGAATACACACCGTACCCGCGCTCATCGTGAGCTCTAGAAGCCGCGCGCTTCAGGATGTCCCTTGGCAGCATACGCTTGCTGATCAAGTGGGCAAACCTCACACGAAGATCACGCTGGTCCAGGATGTGGGACAGCTGCTGATCTTCATGGAGTTCCCGTAACTCCGTGGGTGAGTACTTGAGAGTCTCCACCCACGCCCAGAACATGTCCTCACAAGAACTCCACGTGGGACAGTTCTCGGGCATAACCCAGGGGTATCCCCAAACAGGATAGAGACCACCCCGGGTCTCGGGCTTCTTACGACAAGTCGTGAAGTCCTTAAGGGGAATGCGGTGTGGCGCGAGAAGCACACACCGAGCAGCCTCCAAGTTGTCAACGAACAACTGTTCTTTCTGAAAAAGGGCTCGTTCATAGATGCCCCTAGAAGTGTGGCCGCCCACAAGGCCACGAGAAGCGACGAGAAGCTCTAAGAAAAGGTCAGCCCCAGAGCTCTCCTCGGGAGGCCAATACCCTCTTGAGTTGATGGCAGCTCCCTGGCTGACGGGTGCCGCCACCGAACTCCCACGCACACGCTGGGCAGCTTGGAAATCCTCCTGCTGCTGGTCGAGGTCATTCGAGACCTCCCGGGGCTCAACGATAGCACCCTCCTCTTCCTCTTCTTCCTCCTTCTCCTCCTCTTCATCCGAGGAGTCGAAGATACTCCGATACGAGCGACGAGTCTCCTTCTCCTCGCGGAGTGGAGACTTAGAGGCAGTACGCTTCTTTGAGGGCTTGGCGCCTTCGGCTTTGGAGGCCTTAGCACGCGCAAGACCCTCGGCAAGCGAGAGACGTTTGCGAGGATTCCCTTCATCATCGCCACCGGCTTTGGGAGCGTCCTTAGCCTTGACGGCCGGACTCTCAGAGCGCACAGAGGTCCTAGGACTGTGATCACCTTGATCACTAGCCGGCGACTGCACGCTGTCATCTTTGTGTTCACTGGGCACTGGGCTGTGTCCTCCCACAGAGCCCGCAGGAGCATCATGAGTGCTCCCGGACTCGGCATCGTCCTCACTGTCCGAGTTGAGCTCACGTTCTACGAACCGAGGGCTCAAACGATTGTCTGAAGATGAGGGCGACGGGCTGCGGCGCTTGCTTGCGCGCATGTCCACAGCCGCGTCACCCGAGGAACCGATCGCCTCGGAGGCCACCTGAGTAGCCTCCTTAAGTGCAGAGCCTTTGCCGTGAGGCTTAGTGCTCTTGGCCTGCGCCTTACCGGCTGCAGCCTTGGAGCGTGTCTTAGCACCGCTCTTAGCAGTGCCACGAGGCATGTTAACGGTCGAAGTGGAGACCTAGACGAAGAGCGCACAGGTTGCTGCTCGAGGCTCTAACTGTGAAGTGAGCCTCTGCCGCGCTCGCGCGGCCAAGTCGATGGTTTTCGACTTTGAGAATGAGAGTTTGTGACGAACACCTCTTCATTCTGATTGGTCGGTAAACCGAACCTAAGTGGGGGAGGATGTAACGGGGTACGTAGCCCTAAGTGTACCCTGGTTACATGAAGTGTGACACTTCACACTTCAGGAGTATGACACGTCATACTCCGAGATATTTGGTACAAGGTACCAAGGTCGTTCAAAGCCAACCATTGGTTAAATGACATTGCATTTCTATAGGTAACTAACAGTTTGTATTAAACCCAAACTTAACCTACCTATAAATATACTCAGTTTACAATCTACCTTATTTAGGTCACTTCGCTCTCTTTAATTAAAGAGGGGACCTGTGACCTGCCGTTCACTGAGAGTTTGTATACTCTCGGAAGATAACTTCCTCTAGCGCAAGGTGCTGTGTGACCCCGTCACAGCGTGACTTATTGTTTGTAAATTTAACTTAAGCTTAGCCTACCTACAAATATACTCAGCTTACAACTTATCTTCCTTTCATTATTTATTCACTACAATTGATTTGCCAAAAATCGATCGTCGCTTTCTTCGTTTTGGAGGCCGAGGCTACGGGGTACAGTAGCCTCAGCGCGCAACAGTACGACTTAGGCCAACCAGCGATACTTTCGATAATATCCAGAGAACGAACGGTTTAGTATTTTTATCATCTGTCACGCCATAGAACCATTGCTCTCTGTTTATATTCGATTACACGGGCTTGATTCCCATCGCAGCGCGCAGCTCCTCGTAAGCCATGAGCGATATGATAGTGTGTGGGCCGAGGCGAAACCAGTTGGCAAGCCAGCCCTTGAAGAAACCTGGAATACCCTCCGTTCGAAAAACGCCCATGAAGGCGCGTCCTAGGACGTTCCTGCCGCCCAGGTTGGTTTCATTCATAATCTGCGTCTTCATCACATCCAGCGGGGAGGACGCCGTCGCAGCCGTGAGACCGGCGAACATGCTGCAGATCATGTGTACAGCCACGCCTTCCTCCAGCGGAGTATGATGCAACAGTGTCTCTTTCATGTGGTCGTAGCTGGGTAGCTGCGCAGCGGTCAACACCATGGCGCGAAACGTGGTAGGTGCCACGCCGCGGTAGAAGCCCTGGATCAGGCCCTCATCCTGGAAGATCTTGCGGCATGCAAATATGAAGCTGTTGTGGTAGCGAGTACCCGTGCGGTCCGCCTGCATGCGCACCTTCACAAGGTCCATAGGATTCACGAGTGCGCTACCAATGCCACCAGACGTGGCGCCTGAAAGCAGTTTAATATACAGCGGGGTACGTCTTTGCTCGGCGGGGGAAGTGTGAAATATCTGGTCTTCGTAGAACTCCTTCACCTGGTCGTACATGCCGAAGCGGATACCCGAGTACGTAAACTCTCGTATCAGCGAGGCTTTCCAGCCCTTAGCCAAGCCATACCATCCTTCTTCCTGCACGATAGTCTGGAGACCGTGTCCAAAGCCAAGGTACCGAGTTGGAGCGACTGTGCCAGCCGCCACCGCTGCTGAAGACATGACGGCCGACGACTCTAGTGCCTGTAGCTGCAGTCGCACCTTAATGACGTCAATAGGGTTGGTCGCCGCAGCGGAAATGGTATTGGCGATGCCGCCCAGCAGAATCTTGAGCCCCACGCTCTGCTCCCTCTGAACCACCCCTACAGCATGCAGATGCGCCAGGTGGGCGTCGCTGTGGTGCTGCGGCGCGACGTTGGACGTGGACATGCCGACAAGCTCGACTGAATGCCCTTCAGTGAAGACGGCTCGGAAGCAAAACGGAGACTGAAAGACTTTCGTTATTATCTTTGCCCCTCATCTGGACATCTGCATTTTACATGTAGTACAGTAGCTTATCTCTCACATGGGGAGATGGACTTCAAGGCGACACAGTTGAAGTGTGTACAGTAGACATGTATTCGAGACTTTGGTGTACAGTATTCTGCGTGAATAGTGAACGGGTCATGAGCGCATAAACTACCACAAAGAATAATACCACCCTATCAGCACGACAAGAAGGAGATGTGCAAAGGTATTGAGCTAAGATTGAATCCACGGGAGGTACAAGCAGCAAATTCAGTACATTTCAACATTTGAAATTGGCGCGCTTTTGGCGCCTTGCACAGGTATGCATACTATGCGCATGTAGGTTAACGGACCTTGACATCCCGCCGTTACTAAGCTACCAAATCCGCCATGCCCCGCAATCCTACGAGGCGGCTACGCCTTACCTGGGCCGAGAAGGTGGTCACTCTCTCGTTCATGTCCTACAAGGCAATCGCTGAATGGGCCGTAAACGAGTTCTGTCTCCCAACCTCCCGGCAAAGCCACCATGTGTTGTATTTTCAAGTCGTCAGCTACACTACTGAAGCAACCAGTGGAGAAGGCTACTCTACTATAAAAAAAGTGATGCATGCATTAAATTGCTTAGGAGAAGGAAACGCCGAGCCTTATAAAGTGGATTTACTTACTGCATTGATGTGGTGAGAGGGTGCGCGGTCGAAGGTGAGCACGACAACCATTCAAACATTCGGGTTTAGTTAACAAAGCGAGCATCAATTACTTGCTGTGTTAACTTATATCAATACGGGTTGTTTTTCGCTCCAAACTGCTTTGCTACAGACTGGCATATATATCAGGCGTTCACTATTCACGCAGAATATTGTAACAGCTCCGAAACAAGAAAGGTGGTGAGTCCAGGCTCTATATTTAGAGAGACAAAGCTTGATGCCTAGCTTCACACATTCTAGATGTTGACTTACCTCCAACTACAGATTGAGGCCTCCAGCGCGGTAGCCCAGCATGCCAACGCACACGAATCGCCTGGCGCCAACCACTTGCACACCGTAGAAGCTGCTGCGGTAGGTGAACAAGACGAGGGCGCATCGGCGTGTTGCATAGGGTGCTTTCAGCTGATGCCACCGCTCCTTGAATCGCTCCTCGAGGGCTCTGACGCCAGACTCGACTCAGCTGAACCCGAGCTACTGTGCGCATCCTGCATCCTCCGGCTAGCAGGTAAAGCCGATGCATCGTCGACGGTACAATCGAGTGGTGGTGGAAGCGGAGCGCTGTCGCCGCTGCCGAAATTGAGCCTTCTCGTGAAAGCTGAGGCGAAGTGCCAGGATCAAATGCAGCTCCTGTTAAGTCAGCAAGAAATTTTAAAGCGACAGAGGGAGAGGCTGCAGGCAGCCAAGCGTGCAAAGGAGGAATCGCTTGCCGCTCAGCGGGAGCTCGCTCGACAGCGACGGAGGCATTTCTTGATGATACAAGGGCGTCGTAAGCGCGAGGAAGAGCTCAAGTTCCTGCAGCTTCAAGGTGAAGAAAACACAAGCCGCTCCGAGCAGGAAGGAAACATGGGCAAGTCGAAAAAGAAGCCGAAGCCTCCAAAGGTCTACCAACCACTTCAAAGACGAATATCCGAGCCCTCTGCGGAGCTGTACGAGGTGAGTTTGCCCCACCTGACGACGCAATTATCCAAACCCGATCAGCCCCTCCAGCCACACAGTACCAATAACAACGACAAGATCTGCTCAGCGGAGACCCACCCCACAACTAGCTTCTCCGAGCGACGGAGACAGATGATGGCTTGCTACTCGCAGGATCTATCGCCACTCATCTATGGCCGCAAGCCCAGGCGTCTCCCCTTCCCTAAGCCTGTGCCTGCTATCGTCCCGAGTGGTATGATCATGAGGAGACAATCAACTGACAACGATAGTCAACTAACCGCAGTGGCGGCAATTCAACGTAACAAAAGCCAACAGAACGGTAAAGTTCCAGCACAAAAAGATATGAAGCTGCGCCCTCTGGGTGACAAGATGCCAAATGTCAAAACTAGCAATCAGTTTGAACACTCCCACTGGAGAGGAAGCCACGAAGCTTTCAACAAGCTCTCAGTGCAGCTCTCCCACCGTCTAGATGACCACCCCTCTCCGCTGACAGCAGAGATCAAGCCCGTGTCGTGGGCAAGTGAGCTATTTCCACAGGACGGCTCGACGGACGAAGTTGACAAATCGGTCTTTTCGGTACCGCTGCATCGTGTTGCTGAAAACCCCAACGACGACCAGCAGTTCAAGCTGTTTCCTCTTGAGCGCCAGCTACCGAACCCCACCTTTCCTTCTTTGGAGATAAAGCCACAGGTAGATGTGACCACAGCGCCTCGGTGGGAGTATTCAGCCGAGCGGCTGTCGGGTCTCCTGGAGAAGTACAACGTGTCCGTCGGTCGTCACGACTGCAACAAGTGCACCAAAGCTTCGACCGTCAGTAAAGGGGTTGACAAACGCGCTTGACAACCACATAGGCAGGCATTCCGATAATACAATTGCAATCATATTGAAGGTCCATGCCAAAATAAGCTATTGCTACAAAAACTACAACTTAAGAAATAAATAATTGATATCAATAGTAGTGTATTGGAAAATTAAGTACTTAGATGTACAGCACTGCACATTACTTTGCGTTCACGATAGCTGCTACAGTGTTTGCGTCCCAGAAAGGCCGATTCATCTTCAGGAACAACACGGTTTCAAGGTGAATAGGCAGCATACGCTGGCGATGGTGGGAAAGAGTATGTTTCGCCACACTAAAAAGACGCTCCACGGTGTTTGACGTCGGCGGGATGAAAAGCACACCATCAAATACCTTCTTTGCACCGCGCCGCTTTTTTCTAGTCGCCAAGACTCTGTCGGCAAAGCCCTGTGGGCGTCCGTGCCTGGTGTCCGGTGTCGTAATTGCGGGTACCGTCTCAAATGGCTGCAACATCAGCTCCTGGTCGTTCGTCAGCTCGTCCACGGCGCCTGACAGGGCTACAACGCACGCTCGCTCGAAGTCCACGTCCTTAACAATATTTGCGTCGGCAGCAAGATACTTTTTCACAACGGAATGCTTCTCGATGAGCGCATCAAAGATATCGCGCACTTTGAGAAGCGTTACGTTGTCGTCTTGAAGCTTCATGGTGGCCGACTGGAAGTCGCCAAGCTGGCAGTAAGAAAGTAGCTGCAGACTTGCTTGCTCGTGAAGGTGTTGGCGAGAGCCATGGTAAGATCAAAAATGATAGACGAGCGCCTCAGGTTCGCGTTTTGAGCGACCGTTGCTAACAGCCATCTGGAGACCGAGCTCCGTATTTACGCAAAACAAAGCAGAAAAAACTAGATTTTACGAAAAAATAAAGTACTTTGTTGTAAATACAAAATAACTAATTGGAAAAAGTCATCCAATTTGTAAAAATCAATAATTAAGTGTAAACTATTGTATTGAAACAGCAATACAATGATTATTTCGGAATGCCTGCACATAGGCTCACGTCAACATTTACTTCAAAGTAGCGTTTTACTGGCAAAATTCGCAGTAATTTACTGCGAATTTTGCTCCCCCAGCGAATAAAACGCCCTCCTAATTGAGCGCCCTGTCTGGGAGTCTAGAATTTCCACAGAATTTTTTCAGCTAAATATTTTTTGAAGCCCATCGAATTGTTAGTTCCCATATCTTGTACGGTAGTACTGTACATACAGTAAGCAGAGTATACCCTAATTCATTCGTTGGACCTCCAACATACCAGCCGGCTGTACTTGGAAATTGTATGAAAGTACTGTCGCTCTCACCATTTACTCAAGTTAAGGAGGAGATTTTGGCTGAAAAAGGCCCGATGCACAGGTGTAGGCTTGCACTTGGTAGAGAAGGGATCGTGTAACGGGGTACGTAGCCCTAAGTGTACCCTGGTTACATGAAGTGTGACACGTAATACTTCGGGATATTTGGTACGAGGTACCAAGGTCGTCCAAAGCCAACCATTGGTTGATGACATCGCATTTCTAAAGGTGACTTATAGTTTGTATTAAACTCAAGCTTTATCTACCTATAAATATACTCAGTTTACATTCTACCTTAAATAGGTCACTTCGCTCTCTTTTGATAAAGAGGGGACCTGTGAACTGCCGTTCACTGAGTGTTTGTATACTCTCGGAAGCTAACTTCCTCTAGCGCAAGGTGCTGTGTGACCCCGTCAGACTTGGTAGCACTGGTAGTCAATCCACGCCACCGCGAGTAGACTACCTGAACCTCTCCGAAGTTTGTTGCCAAGGATAGGAACGACTTCTCCCATATGAACGACTCACAGTTCGAGTCGGTTCCTAAGATGGTAGGCATCTTCGGGATGGAGGCCCTGCAGAGCCTGGTGGTGTCAACACCGGCCGAGCAGCTCGAGCGCGTCAATGCGTTTGACGCGTACAAGCAAGGGCTCATCGCGCATGTGCGGGAGAACCTGCAGGCTCCGGCGGCGGAAGCAAATCCGCCTCACCCGAAGCCAATACGGCTGAAGGTTAAGCTGTATGAAGGAAAGGAAGGCGAGAACCTTCACTTCTGGGTCCGAGAAGTAGAGCTCGCGATGGACGCGGATCTGATCTCGACCGAGCAACTGCGTGTTGCTTTTGCACTCTCCAATCTTAGCGGTCGTGCTAAGAGTTGGGTGTACACTCGGGAAGCAACATCCCCTGGATGTTTCACATCCTGGGCTCAGCTGTGCGAACAGCTCCGAGCCGCGTTCCTCCCGGCGAACTACGAGTACCGCCAGCGTTCGCGCTTCCTCTCGTGTAAACAAGGAAGGCGCGAGCTGCACGAGTATGTGCAAGAGATACGGGAGCTCACGGCGTCCCTAGTGGGAAACCACTCAATGAACACATCAAGATGACTGTGTTCATGGACGGCCTTCGAGTGGGCCCCGCACGCACTCAGCTGTTCCGGGTGCAGTCAAACACCCTTGAAGAGGCGATTCAAGTAGTTCCTCAGGAAGAGTACAGCCATCGCCAGGCACGTACGCCGGCCTCAGCGTGGCCTGGGAGTTCTTTGTCGACTCCCGGTCAAACACGCCTCAACGGACCAGTTCCCATGGAACTCGGGTCCGCCGAACAGCGTGACATCCGCTGCTTTGGCTGCGGGAAGATGGGCCACTTCAAGCGCAACTGTCCCGCGGAAAGACTCCGCAGACGGTCTTTCCCCAAGCCCGTCCTCAAGGGTCGCTGGCAGAAGCCAGGATCCCGGGGACAGGGAACGCCGGAAACCAGTGGGGGCGGGGCGCCCTACTGGGGAAGAACTAAGTCTTCGTGATGGGTGCGCGGGTGGCGCGTACCACGGGGACTTAGCCCCTGAGAGTCTTCGCACTCTCGAATCGGCGAAGAGCAGCGGCGGGTTGCTCGTAGTACACGGATGTGTACGGGGATACGATCATTCCTTTAGAATCTTGATCGACTCTGGGGCGTCGAAGAAGTTCGCACGCCGCCAGACGGTTGCTCGTAATAGCAACAAGCTGTCCGATGCTTTGAGAAAAAACAAGGGCAACGGGACGGTGTCCGTGCGACTGGCCGACGGGAAGGTCGTCACTATCCCCAACGTCCAAGTGGATCTGGCCGTCAAGTTTGAAGACTTTGACAGCCTCGAACAGTTCACTGTTCTCGATATGGATCCATATGATATGATCCTGGGCATGCCCTGGCTTAAGGAGCACGAGACCTGGATTGACTGGCGAGGCAAGGCCATCGGTTCGTGACGCCCTGCGCAGTCCGACAGAGCATTAGTGAGTCATGTTCCCACCTCTGTCAGGACCCGGAGCGCCCGCAAGGGTTGCGAGGGTACCAAAGCATTCGGCAGATGCTTGGGAGTCGTCGACGTATATGACGACTCCGAAGATGTTTTTATGGTGGCAGCGCCCAGAGGAGGCGCTGGCCAAGTGGGTAACTTAGGTCCACAAGCGGCTAACTTAGTTTCGCAAGACAGCAGCAGCTGTCACGAACACTGACAATAGTGTGTTCAAGGTGGGTAACAGAGTTCCACACACGGTCGCCCAGACCTTAACTGAAGAGGAAGACGTCGAACACGCTTCCTGTGTGGGTACCACAGTACCACACGAGGCCACGAGTGCCTCGGATGTCGGAGCACCGACATCCCCAGACTTGGGTAGCAAAGCTCCACGTCACGGTCGCCGTCGACGACGACGCCGCCGCCGCCACAAGTCGGATCCGAGCTTCGTTCAGATCGACGTCGCTTCAAGCGACTCGGAGTCCAGGGCCCGGGCTCCTCCGACAAGGCCGGTGGAAGAGTGCTATCATATCTTCGATGGCCAGACCAGTTTACCCGTCAAGGCATCTGGTGTCCACTTGGAGCCGTTGCCAGAGGTTGCAGAGATACTGAACCTCGAGGAAATGACGGTCGAGTCTTTCCTGACCAACCTCAAGGCTGGAAAGGTTGCTGAGATGATGCTCATGAGACCTGAGACCTTTCTGGAGGGAGCTAAACGCCCTATGTCTTGGACGAGAACGTCCTGGAAGACTTTAACAAGCCGCGTCAGACGCGCTTGGGTTCCGAGATCCTTAATAACCCCAAGGATCTGGTGTATCCTTTGGTCACGGAGTATGCGAACGTGGTGAACAAACACCCACTGTCCCAACTCCCACCAGATCGGGGTGTACGGCATGAGATTGATCTCGTGCCTGGCACAAAGTACTATGTTACGAGGCAATGGCCTCTCCCGCGCGAACAGTGCGAGATCATTGATGCCTTCTTCGCCGCGAAAGCGAAGGCAGGCATGGTGCAGGAGTCGAAATCCTCGCACTCGACGCCAACTTTCTGTGTTCGGAAGCCGAACGGAAAGTGGCGTCTAGCTTACGCTTATAACAAGCTGAACAACGCAACGGTGCCGACCCAAACACCAATCCCACGAAAGGATGTGCTGTTAAACAACATGACCGGGAGCGTACCGTACAGTGCGCTGGATTTGGTAGACGGATACTACCAGATCCTGATGCGAGAGAGTGACATCCCGCTCACCGCGGAGGCTCCAAGCGGCATGCCTTGGGAGTGGTTCGTCATGCTGCAGGGCTTGTCTAACGCCCCGGCGACGTTCAATCGCCTGGCGCCGCAATTGTTCCGCCCTTTGCATACCTTCGTACACACGTACTTTGACGACATATTCATCCATAGCCGTGCCGAGGGAGGCAAGACGGCCATGGAGGTGCATCTAGGACACCTCCGTCGAGTGTTGGACGTAATGCGAGCAAGCAAGCTCTACGCCAACATCGACAAGTGCGTTTTCGCGTCACCAGAGATTAAAGCTCTCGGTAGCTTCGTAAGCAACGCGGGCGTTCGGGCTGACCCAGACAAGGTCATAGCCATAGCAGCATGGCCAACGCCCCGATCCCAGAAGGATCTTCGAAAGTGGTTGGGCTTGGCTAACTACCTTCACAAGTAAAGTGCAGGGTACGCGGGCTTCGCCATGCCCTTGTCGGGCCTCCTTGAGAAG